ATCATGGTTTGACTGACGTTTTTAAACTAATTTTAGGCCATTATTTGCACACTGAATTGTTGACGGATTTTTCCGTTTCTTCCCGACCACAACAAGGAGCACACGGCGGGTGTGATCGGTCGGCAGGGGATGCTCACTCCTCCATGGCACCTGATCCCACCTCTGATTGTTTGCTCTGCTCCTGATTTGTATTGTTTGAATGGACTTTTGAGCTTGAATACTGTTCGTTATCTCCATATATTTCAAAGCAATATCTTATCTTCATGCACCGTCTATAATTTTCGATGGAGCGGATCTCAGACCATATACATTTAAAACCTTACACGTAATTATCAGCATCGTATTAGGTGCGGATCTCAAAATGGTACGTGATATACATTATTTAAAACCTTACTATGTTATTAGTATCACACCCGTATAAGCCTCTGTAAAAATCATTCCCTCCTTCATCATACATGTATATATGTAATTACTTTTAACTCGCCCTGATACATTGGTTTGATGTGTTATGATCCCACGGTCCGCTTCTCTCTTCTATTAAAAAAAAGTTAGTTAAGCGAGGACATATTAAATAAAAAATAATGTTGATGCCCTATGTCTGGGTACCGAGGCGCCTGATCTAATACAACAGGCATTAAGATGGGAATATTGTCTGGGGAAGGATAATAATAAAGCACTCTATGATGTAACAGACGGAGATTTTAATAAAGCAAAAACTGAACATTTTAATAATGATAAGACAGTGAAACAATTAAATGTAGGATGTCGCAGTTCTGGGACCTTCTTGTCGTTGGTATACTTTATAGAGATGCAGAGGGTCCGTGGCTTATATACCTAGACGGCTCATAACCTGGACTGTTTGCAAAAAAACGGATTTCAAAACACCTTGGCCATGCTATAAATCTAAACCTTAAAACTTATCTCCAATTTTTTAATTTATCACCCGTCGAAAAAATATTGCGCCTGGAAATGACGTGCATGTATTGACGGCCCTCAACATTACTCGGCAAGCTGGGGTAGATAGGGTTCCGATAGCTAATCTAGGCCAGCTATTGATAATTTTCTCCAGTGGTAAAGCCTCTAGTCCTGGTCACATCTAAACTAACTTGGTATTTGGTTATCACGTGGAAACTTCTAACGACCATAAGAGCTTTGTTGTCATCTTTCTGGACTCCGCTGTTTTAAGTTGACCAAGTGGAAGAACCCCGGACTCTACGCTGGGTTTAACTGTAGACTTGGTACTGCCCAGGGATTTTATTTTTCACGGAGAAACAACCTTGGAGTAACATAATTAATTTTGTTTGTTCTTTATTTGTATAATGGATATTTAATACCTGAGCAGGTCCTAGCGAATGTGAATGGAACTTCAGTACGAACTCGTTTTATCAGGAATTCTGTTAAACTCACCTGTTCAAAAAATACCTGTACCAATATATCTAACGGACAGACCGTGCAGCTGTTCGAAAAAAGTGACTTATAAGGTGCCAGGAAGTTTGCGATAGGTAAGGACTATTGAGAAGTTTTCTACACATTGTAACGGAGTAAATTCTGGCTATATTGGAGCGGCTGTCTACAAGGTAAACAAGCTTCTATAGAACTATCTTAATGGAGCTATTAGAGTCTGTAAACCTTTGTAAAAAGTCCGCGAACTTAAAAGCTAAACAAACAGGTCTTGATAGGCGGGGGGCGAAGCGTGAGTTACGACGGAGCTAGATTTATATCCTTCATCTAGTGGATCGCTGGTACGCGGAAATTACCTGTCGTAAGCCAAAAAACTACAGAGATTTCTTAGGATTTTGATTTATTGAAAAAATTAAACCTTGTCTGGCGTTAATTGAAACTTTTATTTTTGATAAATGACAGGACAAAGGAAGTAATGTATCCCGTCACAATTTTTACATTTTTTTTTTTTAAATATGACACTTAATTCTGATTTTTAAAAAAATTGAAACTGATGATTAAAAACTTCTCTTTACAGTATTACTTCATTTTAAAATTAAAATATATGTAGACGATAAGAAACTGATCGGTAAATTATCTAATATATAACGGTAGTTTTTCACACGTCTGATTAATAAACCGTTATACCTGTGAAATAACGGTGTATAACAACTGGTCACCTAATTACGCGATTGGTTTTCGGGTGTTAATGAACCAAGGTTAATTACACGATGTCGTCCTTGATACGTATAACGGTGACACCAGAACAGTTTTTAATCAGCGTCTATTGAAATTCGATTTGTAGATGACATATTCATATTTGACTAATGTCACTTTGATGGGGGTCAAGGGGAGATAAAAAACACACAGGTACCCAGGGACAGCCTTTAATTATTAGTTTATTTCCTCTGAATACACTACTTAAGAAAGCGGCGCTTGGATTGTGCGCTTGATAACGGTAAGTGTATATATATCAACAGTTTCGGGCTTTTATTTGTATTTTTGAAAAGAAAAATGCTAATTTAGGTTTTAGTTTAATTTTGACAGTGCTATAGATGTGTCAGTGATAAACTGAAAAGTTAAATAGGGTTTTAAAAAATAAACTGAACTATTAGGAATGGCAAGTTTACAAAGGTAGGCATTGATAGAAGTGATATTGATTTTAATTGATTAATTCTGATTATACAGTGAATGAAACGGTCAGAAACACACTCTCTAAGACTTTTATTAAGTCACGCACAAGCAGTATAATGGGGGAATTCAATTCTTTTACTCGAAAAAGATATGTAGCATTAAGTATACAAAAATTATATTGCGGTGCAATGATCTAATTATCTTCAAATCTATGTATAAGTGAAATTTATTTAAAGGGAGGATACTGAGCTTGCTCATATGGCTTTATATTTCGTATTTTAATACAAGCAAATCATAAGCCATCTACATGTATCTACATATATTTATTTTATAACAATAATTCGTGGATTTTTTTGGGTATGTTTTTATCGTTTAAAAAAACCTTGGCGCTAGTTGTTCGCCTTGACTACTACCAAGAGACATGTTTAATGTCAAACTCCGCTTGTTAGCGAACGATGAACATGAAAATCACATTTATTTCATGTAAGCGTAATTTAGAATAACTGTCCTGTTGTGTCAAACAAAAGGCCACAATACAACCACGCTAAAACATTTCCTGGTAAACTTCTACACATGAACGAAAATATTTGGCAACCAGAAAAGAATCTTACTATTATTTCATGAAAACTAAATCTACTCTCTCTTTATAAAAGTAAAATGTTGGATTTTCAAAAACAATGTTGATGTGTTTATAAAAGAGTATTGTTAATGTGAAATGTGATTGTGTCGCTAGATAATCTCCCTTTATCGGGAAGCGTTGATCGCGTTATCTCCCTTTATTAAGGGCACGAAGCATTTCCTGTTTTTCTGTTGTTGGCGAACCTGTAGATGGAGTAAATCAATTAACTATATCAATATTTACGTTCATGTTACATAAGACTTCCCCGAAGTTTAGTTCTCCCTGCTGTCATTTCGGTTCATCATGCCCCCAGGGCTGGGCCGATGTGACAACCAATCAAGTTCAGCGAGCACTGGCCTGCTTTAAGTTGTAGATGAAAATACCCAGGAGACTTTGTGATTCGTTTTATCTGTCAAAATATGATGTTATTTGTCAGCGGAGATAATAGATTTGTTTCCTTTGTCGTAAAAAAAATGTATACCTGATATAACAACTTAATCTTTTGACATCCCACAGGCGCGCGCTGAAATTATTTTTACATCATTTTGGACATGTTTTTGGCATGAATTTGTCCAACGATCATGTAATGCAATTTGTCAAACAGGAAAAAGATTAAATGCACATTTACTTAAAAAAATATCTTGATATTTAAAAAAAAAGACTTTATAATAATGGATGACTAACATAAATTGAGGGGACTTCTTGAGACTACTGTGCTTGTCTTATATTGACATTAAGGATTTACCGACATAGGTAAGCTTTCTTGCTTCTGTAATTGAGAACCATTCTCTAATTGACCACTTCTCCTTTCTGTCAATAAAAAGCAGCAATGTGTTCAATATTTTTTTTAAATTCTTAAAATTTGGAAAGTCTCTCATATAACTGCGGCGTCCAAAAATAGACATGGACAATTCTCCCTGTAGGAATTTCAGAAACTGGACAGTGAAAGAATCCGTTGTCATTGACAATCCCACAGAATGGTCAGAGAGTATATACAGAGGGGGTGATGTAACAGGGTTTACCAAGCTTTGATACTGGTCTGCGAGGAAAGGACAATATTTACTCTAAAATTCATTTGAAGTGTTGACGAAACGCCTTGCTTTAATCTACTAGAGGAAATGCCACTTTCAGCGTTTAAGAATTGGGTAATACATTGAACAGCGATCAAATAAAGAATTTGATGCCATTCTGTAACTTCTGGATTGTGATCTAATTTTCAATTTCATTCCCTTGTTTGACTGTTTAAATTACTAGAACTGTCTCTCCTTTTTGGAGTTTTTCTTTTTCTCAATTACTGGAACCTTTAACCCTCCACCCATCTTCTCTCTCTTGCACCAAATGGCCTATTATTTATTATCATTTTTGGAGCTTAAAATAAACTTGATCAGCACGTAAAACATGGGCCTTCGACGTGGGTATATCGAATGCCCTTCTAATCAGATTAACTAATGAAGTAATCGGGGCCAATCTTAATAATGTTTACAAAAATAACGACATGAGATCAGAGGCCAATGTAGATAAACACCGTAATGGACAAAAGGTTCACGGGACAACGAATGTCAAAGAGCGCACAAAAAATGCTTCTTTACATTTCTACTCGACAGAATAAGTAGATAAACTTCCTATAGATACACTGGGTACAAAATAACATTCCATATCCGTAACATAAACATAAAGGTTTTAATATTCATTTAGGAGGGAGTATTCTTCTCACGGGGAACATGTGTATACATTGCATTTGGGCCCGCCCACTTTTCGCTCTGTACACTAAGAAAATTCGCTCCTTTTGAGTGACGGTTAAGCGACATTCTAAATGTTATTTGTCAAGTGACTAGGAAGCGAAACGCTGGAAATCGACAGCTTAGAACGCTTAAAGAAAGAATAATTATAAATGGTAAACGTTTCCAACAAAATAACAGTGTTTGATAGTGGGTTATCATAATTCTTTTGTGGAGATTTCCTTTTAACACACCGATGCTGGTTTTCAACAGAAGTACCACCCCTTGTGAATGAGATAGACTGAAGGCGCACGCGACATTGGCAGTTAAATCTTGATGTAGAAGAGAGGAGGGGAGGTTTTTATTGTTTATCAACAGTCTGTTAATTTGGTGTTAGAGGAAAATTATAGGTGACATTTGTCGGATTTTAACGGGTGCAGGAACACGATTTATGTCTTATCGAGTTTAGGGAAAGCATGTGGAAATTGACACTGTTTGGGATAGTGATGAAATCCTGCCTTTGATTTATCTTCTAATATAATCCCGTCTTATGTCAGATTTACCATGGAAATCGACAAGTGTTCAAGTTCAAGTAAGTTTTTTCGCCGCCAAGAAATATTTTTATCGATTTGAACGAAGGAATATGTGTTCCATGCTGGTTTCTTGAGAATCTCTTTCTTTTCCTCTTTCTTTAACATGTATATATTTTGACTACACGAGCAAATTTTTCCATTAGAGGGTCAATCAATCCAAATATTTTCTTGGCCAAAATCTAATTTATATGATAATAACAAGTGAACAGAAACTATAGAACTGGCACGGACGGCGCTACAACGCAGGTCGGTCGAGGATGGCGGATAATACAGGTACATTATTGTCCGTGGCACGACCGTGATTGGCAATAATTAAACCTGGTCAGTCAAATTCAAAAGTCCATCAAAATTACCACCGGTTCTGCAGGGAAAACTCTGTCATGGTATTATTAAATTCAGTTACTGCTTCATTTTGTCGCAGATTTCTTTTACAAAAAAATGTTGACTTTTTTGCCTTGGGCAGATTTTTGACATGTGAATTTACATCGCTGGAATCAAATGCCGATTTTTAATTTGCAGGAGGGAAAATCGATTTGACGGAAATAATGTTCGTTTAATGTAGCGAACATAGTTCTGAACACAGCGATAACGTTTAGCGTCCGATATAATATATTACGATAATCCATTAAAGTGCTGAATTAACGCATTGTGGTAATAACGTTTGTTTTTGTCAGTGTGAGAGGAATGTTGAAGTTTAGAATAACACGATGATGACATTAGTCAAAATAAAAAAAAAGGTTTTCTATCAACACCCGCCAGATTTTGCTGACAATTTGGCGGGAAATACTCAGCTTCCGGGCATGAGTACTTCGAGGACAATGTAGTCACACGTTTCTAGTGTGTGTATCTGTAGTTTTGTTCTGTTTAATGGTATATTATGCTACACCGTTTTCCTTGAAAGCAATATTAAAGTATAAAAACTTTTCTGTTCTAGATAAATCGGAGAGGATGTTGATTTTGGCGGTCTTGGTGTCTACTGTGGTGACCATCTCTGCACTAGGTAAGTTTTAATCCCCATGGCTATTAATTTTCTAATCCCCCAAATTGCATTGTTTAATTGCAGTAATGAATGATACGTTGTTGGTATGTTGACATTAGATAGTCATTCATCATGATAAAAACGTGTCAATTTCGCAGGCCATGCGGTAAAAAAAAAAAAGAACACAATTTCTTCTTGTTTGAGCGTTCCTGACCCCGCGTGACCTTTCCTGGTCTTTTCCTTGCTGTAATTTACGACCTAATTTCCGCCATTTGTTCTTAAATTATCAAACAGGACCCACATCACAGGTGTGCATTCTCGAACAGGTTCTAATTAATTCAGCAGATATTTACAAGTATATCAAGGGGACATCACAATTCATTATAGGTGTAATATACCTTTTCAGTTCTTACATACTTCAGGTACATGTATTTTGTGCGATGTAAATTCTGGAACTGTAAATAACAGATGCATGGTGTATTTTATGAAAAAAAGAAACAAAAAACACAGGAGATTGCTCTAGCTTTTTGTTTTAGAATGAAACTTTAATAAAAAAAAATATTAAATAATTGAAGAAGCCAAAATTCAAGTAGACTGTGATACTGATAAATGAGATTTATAAATTATTACTGCTTTCAACTTTTGGAAAGAGGGCAGTTTATGTTATTTGATTAGGGATTTTTTTCTCTTTCCAGAATTTTGTTAATTTGTAGTGAGATGAGTTCACTAGATGACCCTGGGCTAGTTTTTGTTGGGGGGACTGTTTTTAATTGTATTTGGACCCTCTCTTTCAGGAGGAGTTATTGATTCTCATTCTATCCTGTTGTCGCTTCATATGCTGTTGAGTTTCTGTGAATGCTTGTTGTTAATGCAGTAAATGAGATTAACTTTTTTGAATTAACTTTTAAACAAAATCAATGTGGTTCCTAAGGGTACAGGTTTTGACTATTTGAGGCAAATTTTTGTCCCTGCAAACCTAAGAAACAGGATTAAATTGGAGAACTTGTTCTCAATGAATGCAAAATGAAAAAATATGCAAAACCTTGTATTGGAATATTTAATGCGATTAGGGAAAATTATTCATTGAAAAAAAAATGAAAGAAAAAAAGTGCTTTAACTTGTCAGATTGTCGATGAGAGGTACAGAACGCAGACCAGGCCTGATACAGTATCTCTAGTGCCCTGTGTGTCAATGTTACCCTCTTTTAATTGAGAGTTCTGTAGTAAAGACTTCAATTTTTTATGTCATAAAATCAATATATTTTTTTCACTTGATATTGATCAATCAGTGTGATTTCCTCTTTGGCATGTGAATAAATAGGCTGTAATTATTCTAATTATTGTCAGATTAAATTTTTCTTTTCCTGTTGTCCTCAGTAAAACTGTGAAACTTCATGACTAGTGATCAGTAGATAATGCCTTTGGGACAGAAATTTGACATGACATTCATTTAATACCTCTGTCAATATGGTAGTAGAAAAAAGCATCCTAAAATTTGTGATTTAAAAGTTTAAAAAAAAAAAATGGTCTTGTATTAGTATTTGTGAATTTAGGATTTTTTTTTTTTTTTTTTTAGCAGAATAAATTTTTTTCAAAAGTACATTTAAGACAATTCAAAATATTCTCATGATTAATAAATGCTGCCTGGGGCTGTATTATAGATATTGAAGAAACATGATTTTTTTAAATTTCACCATTGCTTCACTTTGATAAGATAGTAAATGTCCTATAATGTGTCGTAGTTTGTAATATACATAAAGAACAAGCCGTTTTATTCCATCTCAGAAAGTCCCGCTGATAATATTTGACAAGAAACACAGATTCTTGTGGACATGGTTGCTACGTCATTAAGTAAATTATTAAATGGCCATAAATTTAGTTTTGATAAATTTCCAGTAGAAAGATGGATAAAAGTAAGAATAGGTATAAAAATAATCTAATGTTCATCAATGAAGAATCAAAGTTTTTATCAGTTTAACTTTGCTCATTCAGACTATAAAGTTTGGATGGTGAATATTTTCACATATTATTCCTCAATCACTTTAGCACCTGTGTTTAAGTTGTATTAATTACCAGCTGCTATGTCTATATTTCATATTGAGCCAGTTAAATCGGCAGTGACAGAGTACAGATCTGACTCTCTTCAGTGTTTTACAGATATAATATCATAGCTTTACAACATAAAGCTTTCAGGGCAGATCTGGACACTGTGTTCTGTCGTTTGGAGCCATCTGCATCTTAGTACTGTCAAACATGGCACTTAACAACCACATCGCTTTCTTAAAAAATCTGCGGAAAAAGTCATGAATCTGCCATTTAGTGTAAAGGATTGTGATAACTTGGACAAGACCACCAAACTTTTTGGATAAAAAATATCAGCATGGATAATTTGTATATGAAGGCAGAATTAAGAGATATTTGTTAGAAGTATTACTCACATCTGTGAAGAATATAAGTAAAGAACACTCGTACATGTATTACAATAGGCAGTTAGGAAGTACTAGAAATCAATTTGAAGTACATTTCAAGCTTGTAAAGCACTGAGATGCCTATTGAGTTGTCCTTATCATGTTATGAACACTTTAGAATCAGTGTTACAAATACTTGAGACTTTCTCTCCCAGCTCTCGAGGCAATGAAACATAATGGACACTTCAGCCTCGTCTTCTACAGGCTCTCAAGGCTAGGACATTTTTTTTTACATGAAGGAGGGAAAGTAGAATTAGTACAAATTTTATGTTGTCTTTTTCTTCATCAGGAAATCTCCGTATCTAGCTCTGGTTTTTCGAATGATTGGTCAAACAAGTCGTCTTGATCTAGCTTATTTCAAATAAAAGATTAGAGAAACATTGAAACAGATAACACAGCATAGATTAGTGCAGGTCGTAAAGCGCATTCTTACAAAGTCAAGGTTCTATTTTCCATCTAAATCTTACCTCAAAAGAGAGGAAAAAAATTCAGTCATTTCACAAAAAAGACATTTTGCACAGTTTTACACAGAAAGCTTATTCACATTTCATTGAATTTATGAAATAATTTAAGAATTATATTTTCTTGCTAAATGAAGTAGTTTGTAAATCATTGATGTTGTTGTGGTAGATAACAATGTGCGTAATGACTCTGTTTAATGTGGCTATTATTCATTTCAGCACCTTTAGTTGCCCATAGACTCCACAACAGAGTCAGATTTTCCCTTTTCTCCTTCATTGAAGTTTGTTGAGTGCATTATATTTATACTACTGTGGTAAAAGTTTAAAGGTTGGGGCGTAGTTTCTTTGTAATAACTTTTGTGGAGAGATGTCATTTATAATATCTGACTGGTCAATGGGTTATGTCTAGATAAAACAAATTTTGTCATAAAAATTTGAGAACTACTATGTCAAAATATCTATTTGTTCTGTACACATTTTTTTCTCTTTCAAGCCTTGTGCTAAATTGTGAATAATTAGCTGTATGCATTCTGGCTTTTAATTGACTAGCACTAGATCAGTGAAGAGAGTTTCTGTTGGTGTAAGGCCCTGGATTATTACACAGATTTATAACAGCAGTCTCCCCCTAACGGCCATATACAAGGTTGAACCTTCCACCATCGGCCTGCGACAAGCAGATTAATTTTTCATCAGGATTTTCTTGTAATCCTGTCCAGATTTTATGAAGGAGATAAATAGAACAAATGATAATTGTCACCCCACATTTCTCAGGTGACCGCTGGTCAAGTGATGAGTAAATTCATTAGTAACCATGGTAACAGATGATTCAAACTTCCTGTCTCAAGCTACCTTAAATTTCTGAGAAGCCTGACTAGGAATAATAATTTCTGCAATATTAATTTTCATGGATATTTGTCTTAATGTAAGATTAAAATCTGTGAAGACGTCAAGGTTTCTTTTTGATTTGTCAGATGAAAAATTCTACTTTGGTCGGAAATAGGCAAAGGAAAGAGAGAAAATGTCAAAGCCTTCAGTATGAATCATGTTTGTCTTGGAAATTTGCATTTTGTGGTTAATTATATTCTTTTGACGCTGCTTTAAAACATGCATAAATCTGAATTTTATTCTTTGAATCACACATTTATTAATTACCATAAGATTTAGGAATTCTAATGACATTGTGTGAAACTACATAATATAAAAAAATCTTTGAAGACCATATGTCTATTCAGAAAATTCTTTGCAGTAAAACAAAATTTCTTTTCATATTTTGTATGGAATATGGAATCCCTTGTATAAAATTTAATTAAAAAATTTTGATCCCTTGCATTGTTTGGATTCATATTTGCATTGAATGTTACCTTGGACACCAGCAAACAAAAATTCTAAATAAGGGACTAGACCTTCTGATGGGGGTATCATAAGACCAAATATAATCCAATTTTCATGACTGTTTATATCACTACACATGCAATTCACAAATATAAAAACTTTACCCTTTTGGTAATATTATGAATAATATTAATTATTTCAAGTTCGTAGTATGCTTTATCTCGGGCGAGAGGTTCCAAATTGAGAACCAGCTTATGTCCGAATAAAAGGGGTACTGGTATTTCTACGTGGATCATCAGCTATGCTGTGTAAAATTGCTGTAGATAAAAAGTATATATATACTGGATGTGTCAGATCGTAATAAATGGAGTCAATATAGAAGGAAATGTAAACATTCTTAGGTTGGGACAGATGTTTCATTTCTTATTCAGACGGCAGATGTTCCCGATCGGAACCAGTGGTGGGGGGATATTTAGGAACCGTATCTATGGTGTATCTGTCAGGTCCCGAACCCAGCGCCAAAAAATCCTCCCAGAACTTGTCAATTGTATATAATTGTAAAGTATTCAAAATGTTCTCAAGCTAGTATCAGATAGGAAAATTGTATCTTGCTAACCATGAATCACTGAAAGTTTGCCACAAAAAGTTGATAAATCCAGAGCTGGTGTTCTTTTTTTTAGAGAATTATGTAAGATAAATGAGAAAGTAAGAAAACTTGTACACTGGCCTGCAGTAGATTTAAGATGTGGCAGGGGAATATT